AAAAAACTGAAGTCCTCTCACCTGGTGCAGCGTCAATCGAAAAGAATTTACAATTTTGTAAAGTTTCAAGTTTTTCAAGTTTGTCGCCTCGAGCGAGTACATAGTTATTTAATGGCGCAGGTTTGATTTACGACCCGTTAGGAAACAGGCTGTAACCCGAAAAAGCAGCAAAATTACTTTTTCTTAAATACAATGGTCCAATTTTTTAATTTAAGTACTAAATAAAAATAATATTAAAAATTACTAAATTTTCCATTTTTTACCTAAATCACCTAATGTACTCACCAAAAAATATTTCTTAAAATACAGTGAAAGGTCATATAGACGGACGCTCTAATAAGCGGATACATTCTAGGGAACGAACAATTTTTGGTTTTTTTCCATACAAAATGCTCTCCCATACACGGACTTTCCGATAAACGGACGCGAACACTCAAAAATGTCCAGTTATGAAAAAAAACTCTCCCATAAGCGGACGCGAAGCTCTAACAAGCGGTCAATTTTGTTTTGTTTTTCAGTCAAATGTTGACTCTTGCGCTTCTACATACATATGTATATGTACACAAGAACATAGCCCATATTCAAAAATATTTTCTTTTCTAGAAAAAGTGTTGCCTTTTCGTTGCCAATGGGCAATGGGATTTGTCGGTAGGAAAGAAAAAGCAATAAATTTGAATTTATTTTTAATTGACCCTGTTTCTGTCTATTAAAGAATAAATATTATTTTAATTTAGAAACCCGCAATTTCAATTTTTTAAGTATGAGTTTGTATTTTATTTTTTGCGAAATTCCTATAAGCGGACATCTCTCATAGGTGGACAAAAAAGGTGACCTTCGGTGTCCGCATATTGGAGCTTTCACTGTATTTGACATCGGCATTCGCATTCGTATCCGCGGATGTTAGCTTTGAAACAGCCGCATCCGCATTCGCATCCGCGGATGTCTAAAATTCCACATTCGCAACAACCCTAATACATACATATGTATAAATTCATGCCAATAGTATTTAACTTCGTAAAATTAATTGCATGGTGTGGGTTAGTTTACATTAAAAGATAAAAATATTACGTAAATTGAAGCACCAATGAGGTCTGCTAGTGAAAGTATGTATGCTTACAAACATCCACTACATACATAAACTGTTCGGCCAAATCAAATTACATACTAAAATCAACAAAATTTGTGCATGAAATAAACAGATAATTAGATTCCCACACCAATAAATATATAAGTATATATGTGAATTTATATGTAGAGGAAATCCGATAAGTACGGCTAGTAATCGTAAAAGTTGATATACATACTCTGTATTGCTATAACAGTTATGCAGAAAAATAATAAATAACATTCAACAATTTTTGTCGAGCTAGAGGCCGTGTTTTAAAGAAAAAATTATGTGAAAAAACAACAACATTATTGTTCATTGAAACATGGCCTCTAGCTCAATAAAAATTGTTAAATGTAATTGTTATTAAGCCAGAACGAAAAACGACACTGGAGATGGCACAAAGCTGAAGCCGGTTTGTCTCCAAACCAAATTTGACAACGGATGACGGAAAATCGTCAACATCGACGATATACATTTTTTCAGGGAGAACTTATTATTGTGAAACCTTCTAAAGTCACTTAAATTGTTTTAATAAAATGCCACAGATATGTATGTATGTATTTACAAAGATAGGTGGTATACATATGTACATATGTACATATCGCTAGCTTAGAGTGAAAAGTTGCTAAGTCCCAATTCAAAAATTGTGCAGGAGAGGAAAAAAACTTCTAAAGCCATTTTCTTCAAGTATTTCGCAAAACTTTGAATACAGCATTTTGCCTGTTTAAAGCAAAGCAAAACTCCATACGCACCAGAGGAATTCGATCTTTATCAAAAGATTTTGTACTATTTTCGACTTATCGAAATTACGGAGTTTTTTTTTGGACTTAGCAAATTTTCGTTTCATTGAATATAAACGAGAAAACATAAAACAAGGATCTTTATCCTTTTCAAAACGATGCATTGTTAATTTCTCTAGCCTCCTGTATCAAAATATGAGTTTTCATAAAAAAGCGGACTTAGCAACTTTTCACTCTAAGCTAGCGATATGTATGTTGCGTTTGTTTGGAGCTTCAAACAATTAATTTGCAACAACTTTTAAAACAGCAATGTTTGGTCAAGTTCGCATTCCAAATATCGACCTTTGACTATATACATACATATGTAAGTAAGTAAGTTCTATTCAGACAAATGCAATCGCGATTCATTAAGGTATTTTCTTGGCCGTGAAAGTCTAACTCAAAACATGCATACATGCATACATATATGTACTTAAACAGCATATAGCCAATGGGGCGTTAGACAGGCCGGCTTCTTTAGATATCATTTCATTGTAAGCTACATTAATAACGTTTTACGTCAACTAGTAAAAAGTGAATGCATCTCCATATACACCGGATTGTTATACAAACAGTGGGGGAATTCCGGCTACGTCGTGAGGACGTAGAGACGTCGAACGCGCATCCTGTGCTACTTTCCGGCATTGGCCAAACAAAGACTAATGGATGTTAATTTTTCTGCACTCAATGCTTTAAGCAAAAGAAATTCCTTAAATAAAAGCAAATCGTATATCAGAAAGCTTTCGTTAGGGAAGCCTGCAGTTTTTTTTTTTGGCTTTCAGAGTTAGTGCCGCTTCACACGTTCCGGTTTCCGACTACCCCGGTTAGCCGGCGCAAAATCTATGAAACCGGGTATCGCTTTGTGTGAAAGCCGTAAGAACTACACATATATATGGTGCATTCCAAAACGTCAAAATACAAAGCATTAGTCTCTTTTATTTCTAAACCACACTAGAAGAAGAAGTCTAACTTGCGCCCGGTAATCGGAAAGTCTAAAAAGGCACTGCCTACATATTCGGGATATTAAATGAGTTTGCAGCACCCAAATTCTTTACTACACCGAAAAGTAGAGACTGAACCCTGATTAGAAAACCCAACCAGTGAGGTCAAATTTGGTATGGCATCGACTGTGAAAGTGCCAATTGTATCTTCCTCTTCAGAAGGAAGATCGTGAGTGCAGAGCATTGAGCCTATAACACTGGGTTGAAGCACACCTGCTGAACTTTCATAGAGTCGGAATGTTCCATACTTTGTTTTACAAAGAAGTAGCGATTTTTTAGATAAGCCTGAATAAATATATAGGGTGGTATTATCACTTGCGAAGCGAATGAATTTGGCGAAGCGAATAGTTTGGCGAACGCAACTAAATAGTGTTCGCCCGCACCAGCTTGTGCAGGTTCTTTGCATAGCGAACAGTCTTAATGCCTTCTCTGCCTCCTAGTTCGCTTCGCCAAATTCATTCGATTCGCCAAATTCATTGGCTTCGCAAGTGATAATACCACCCTTAATAGTTTGTAGGGATGGTGGCTTTGATTTTATAGAGGAGTCCTTCGTGCCAGACGCGGTCAAAAGCTTGGGAAATATCGAGAAATACATGAGTCAGATAAGTGATGCTCTTCTGAGGTGATTGCTTAAGTAAACTACTTGTAATTAAGTCATATCCAGTGGCTTTTCTGGTTAAATTTTCGTATTGCCTTAGTGAATTCAAGTATGGGTGAGTCCATTTGGAAAGTATAACCCAAAGAAATTTTTACGTTTTCCATTGTATTGGGTGGACGTTCGATATTATGAGGTGTGAATACCGTTATGTACATTTGTACATATTTAGCTTTTCTGAATCAGTTTTTGGCCCGTTCATTAGTTTCTTTCATTATGGCGGACTCAGACAGCTTTTTGGACACAACTTTATGAGACTTCAATGCCAATTTCATGACAAGAGTCGAAGAAACGATGCCTCGAAAGGAAAATTTTAGCTCGCATTCTATGCGATCTCTTGATTATTTTTGGTCAATGGGCAAACATATGTACATATCAGAACAGAAAAAAGGTTTTTTTCTTGGCTGCGAAAATTTTATATTTGGGTACATATTTATTTATAGCTGAATAAATTATGCGATTGTTTGTCGGACAACATTACCGTTCGCTCGATAAGATTAGGCACGTTCAATCAACACGTAGGGAAAAACGTGCGTAGTCACTTGACTAATATTTGATGACATTTACGTTTGTAGTACTCGTTCGTATGTATGTATGCGACATCGAAAATGTCTANAACATTACCGTTCGCTCGATAAGATTAGGCACGTTCAATCAACACGTAGGAAAAAACGTGCGTAGTCACTTGACTAATATTTGATGACATTTACGTTTGTAGTACTCGTTCGTATGTATGTATGCGACATCGAAAATGTCTAACATAGTAAAATATTTTTTATGCTGACTGTTGTATTTTTATAGTCATTTTCCTAAACCCGGCATTTATACATATAAATTTATGAATTTCGAATATCATCTACTCTCTTCTTACTGAAATAATTGCATAGATCAGAAAGCGGAATTTTTCAAGAGACGCGTTTAAAGTTTTCAAGCTTCTTCTAAAATGGGAAAAAAGATATCCATCATTGTCTCAAAAAATTCGTTTTTTGAGTTGTGAATTTTTAGCAAATATATTTGTTTATAAATAAATACATGTTCATATGTATAAAGATGCTGTGTGGGAGAGAATGATCTACACATGTATGTATGTATATATGTAGAAACATTTGCATTCTGAGTATATTTTTAGCTACATACTTTTCAAATCATCGTTTGTCATTTGCAGCCGCAGCATCCAGTCAACTCTTTTACTTCAATCAATGTATCCATATACATAAGTATATAAATATGTATGTATGTATATTAGGGCGGGTCAATTTGTATGGGAGAGTTTTTTACCGACTATGCGCGTATAGCACAGAAGGATTCTACGTGTAATTCTAAGCGAATTTTCCAAAGAAACCATGGATCTGAAATCAATTTAGAGTTTGCCAAATTGCAAAAATAAGTTTCTTAGCATTTTTCTGTAGTGTCGTAAAGATATGTGCTTAAGTTTTGTATGAAAACATAGTGTAAACGGTTTTTTGGTATTAGGTATCCATTTCTGCGCTTATCTTCTTCTTAAAACTTCCACCAGAGTGCGCAACAGTGATAATTTTCACCTTTTCTTCGAAACATATTTTCGCAATTTGGCAAACTCCAAAAAAGACAAAAAGAAAATTACCCACCGTAATGTAGATACATATCGTCGTTTAAAGTACAAAACCGCGTATCAGGAAAATGCAAAACCTCGTATGTTAGGTTGCCAAAATTTTATAGCAGAGAGGAAAACTTGATTTATATCAAAACGGTCCTTTTTTATCCCTAATTATATTTTCTTCTTAAGTAATGATATTTTAGTATGAACGGATAAGGGCTTGATTGCCAGTTGCTTCAGGTGAGCAAATATCTTTTTTGGCACAAATGTCAGTAATGAGATTTTTCAGAACCACGATACGCGGTTTTCAACTTTAAACGACGATATGTACCTTTTGTTTCATAAATGCGTGCTGATATTCGGCATTCTTTACATTCCATCGAATATCTGGCTTTTATTTAAAATAAGTAGTGTTGTATTTTTTGTGCAAAAAAGATTTGTTGATGAGTTTCTACACACAAACAAATAAATAATTACTGTGTACACAGCAAATTTGCTGAAGTTGGCACTCTGAGCAATAAAATATGTACATACATACATAGCACGCTCAGGCACACACTAGATCTCTGCATGGGTTGATTTTAATAGGCCCGTCAGAATGGGTACTTGTACGTACCAATACATCAATAACGGAAAAGTATGCGAAGGAAGTGGCGTACGTAACGTAGAGATACGCCACAATGAAGGTGTTGCGTCTGCAAACAAAAATCAGCTGTTCCTTATGGCCGCGTACTTGGGGTTTACACAAGTCAATTTTGCAGGTACAATAGCAAAACATTCACACTTTTTTTGCTAATATATTCACACTTCTCTTGATGTCTTCGTCATTGTCTCTGGCTTTTCGAAGATAGTTAATTGTCTGGACGCCTACTTTACCCAAACAATGAGACAATTAGTACATATTCTCAATTGTCTTGCCTTGTGTAAACGCAAAGTTAAACAACTGTCAGCAGTGACGAACTTACGTGCGTCAAAAGTTGAGTGTTGACCAACGTTCGTTGAGTAGGGTTGCCAATCTGACGCTATCTATGCAAACACATACAGTCTACTCAACTGCCAGTTTCATCCTTGAGCGGAACGTACACAAAGTACCCATTCTGACGGGGCCATAACTTCCAGCCAAACAGAGTACAGTAGATTTGGAGCATGATAGATTTAAGGCAGTGTCATACGATTGGTACGCTTGTACAGATTTATACATTTTTTTTTTATACCCGAGCGCACTTGTGCACAAGGGTATATTAATTTTGTTCACATAACGGTTGTTTGTAACAGCCAAAACGAATCGAGATAGATATAGACAAATGTATACATAAATGCTCAGATTGAATAGAGAAGTCGATTAAGCCATGTCTGTCTGTCCGTCTGTCCGTCCGTCCGTGTACACGATAACTCGGGCAAAAATTGTGATATCTCAACAAAATTTGGTATGTAGGTTTCCCTTAATCCAAGGTAGGTTGGTATTGAAAATGGGCGAAATCGGACTTTAACCACGCCCACTTCCCATATAACGGTAATTTCCAGAAATACGAAAACTGCGCTATTTTAGTGACTACTGAAGATAATTCACTCAAAATTGATACAATAATTTTCAGACGAAAAATAATATTAAAAATTTTTGGAAAATGGGCGTAGCCGCGCAACACGCCCACTTATGGTTACATGTGTATATCTTGGTAACCGCTGCACCAATTTCTTCCAAACTTGGCACAGTTGTTGGCCTT